CTGACTGTGTGTGACCACTCAGCAGTGTGTGTGCATCTGACTGTGTGTGACCACTCTGCAGTATGTGTGCATCTGACTGTGTGTTGCATCCTCACTGTTTTGTGGCTCATGGTGAAATATTCTTATCCCAGCTTTTTAAATTAGCCTTGGGGTCTAATTTTCTTTTCCTCATTGGTTAGTCCTGTCTAAAAGAGTCAGTGATTTGCAATCTCTTCCTCTTTCGTGCTCTGTGTTGAATAATGTCTATTCTGTTAGGGAATTACAAACCCAGGAATTCCTCTGGAGTCTTCGTTCCCTCTCTATCAAATTTTCACTCACATTTCAATAATCTTATTTACTGAAAATGTTTCAATTCTAGCCCCCTTCACTTGCTCATTTCCAAATACCCTAATTCCACCATATCTTTTCCTTACTTTTCCAGCTTAATGGACTACTAGTGTCCATGCTTATTTAATTTCCAAGCCTTCTGATTGCAAGGCATGGAGATAGTCAGTGGGTAAGAGTATTGCTGTGTGTCCAACTTAAGAAACATTGCGACCAAAAGCAACTTGGAGTGAGGCATTTTTTCAATCACATTTCTTCTTCCCAAGTGATCTAAGCTTGTGTCCAGTTGTCCAATAAACAACAATGACATTGTGCAAGCATTCAGACCTGAGTTCTAATCCCCCTGCACTCATATAAAAGGTTGGAAATGGCAGCATATGGCTATAATCGATATAACATTGGGGGCAGAGATAGGTAGATCCCAAGAGCTTCCTAGCCAGCCACCAGGAAGAAATGATGAGCTCTGGTTCAGTTAGAAGCCCTGTCTCTAAGGATTAGGGCAAAGAGTGTTATCTTTTCACATATTCCACTGACTTCCGCATGCACATACATAGACTGCCACAGCCATACACATTTACATCCATGCCCTTCTCTCTCTCTCTCTCTCTCTCTCTCTCTCTCTCTCTCTCTCTCTCTCTCTCTCACACACACACACACACACACACACACACACTTATCTACATAACTTAAAGGTATTTTGTGCCATATGTCAAATGTACCTGTATTCTGATAGTGACTGCTTATATGAGTGGTGGGACTTTTCACCGGAGGCTTCCTATCAGCACAAAAAGTTTTAGATTTTGCTCCATTTCAGTCTTTGGTGGTGGCCAGCTGGTACTCTCCCCCAGGCCCCGCGGTGCATGGTAGTTGTTCATCCTGTGTTGCACCAGAGACTCTGCAGGCATCGTTATTGCCAGCTTCCACTCTCCTTCTGTCTTTCCCAGTAGTCTGTGCACTCCCTGAGGACAGGAGCAGCTCATAACACTCACCTTTATATCTTTGATATAGATTCCCATCCAGGAATATAACTGGGCCTCAGTGAATGGTACTTATGTCAGTCCTTATTTAAGTCACTTTCATGCATATGTGAGCTGTGGTCCCAGCAGGAGGGGTGACCTCTCCCCCTGTATCCCTTCAGATAAACTTCCCAGCGATGTCACAACTAGCAAAACACACTGTCTTTATTATGAGTTGGGTCTCTTCAATAATAATAATTAAGATGACTTTTGTGCTGTTTGTATAACTAAAAGAAACTCCCAGGAAAGCACAGGATAGGAGATTTGTCATTTAAGAGACAGAAGCCAATTATCTCCTCGGTATACCTGGTACGTACTGATTTGCAGAGGGGGGAACAGCAGCGGGATGCTGGCAGACATGAGCAGAGCCTCCCTCCTGTTTTGTTTATCATAATGAACTGGTCAATAAACATCACAAATTGTTTATCTATATAAATCTTGACAGATTACTCTTCATGAAATCCATTTAGCAACTGAGGTTTTCCCATAAGGATGAAAAATGAAGATTTTAAACAGATTGCGGGACCAGCTCGGGCCGTGCCCGGGGAGTTTGTGCAATAAAGGTTTCTTTATATTAATATGACGAAAACCATTTATCCTGGCAAAATCAATATCACAATTCATCTTAGTTTGTTGCCTCTCTTCTAAGCCCAAGATGTCTTCTCCTTTATTGTGTCTAATTTTGTTTTAATAAATGTGAATTATATTTCATTTGGTTGGTACTCCAAGGAGGGGCATCTGAAGAACTGCTCTCGAACTTGTGGCTTATGTGCTAAAGAGTCTTCAAAACGTTTGAAATTGTATTTGAGTGGCTGAGAAATTTATAGGAATCATTTCATTTAAGCCTTAATTACAGTATTATCCCCTGTGTCCTTTGGACTGGTAGCAAACTGTAATATTCTAGAAAATCCGCTCTGATGAACTTCACTTAAGGAAAATTCTCTCTTACTGAAACTAAGCAATTATAATAAGTCGGATATGTTCGATACAACAGCGGCTGGGAGAAGAGACAATAAAACCAGAAATAGACGCATTTAATTACTCAAAACATTGCTTGCTTTCCTAAGAAGTGATTTATTTATTCCATTTGGACTCAGAAGTTAATATCCCACGGATATTGACATAGCCGACGCTGAGCAGTGTGGATAGCAGTCGGTTGGAAGGAAACAGAGCTTCCTCAAGGGATGGAATTATGTCACACACTGCAAGCCATTACTCTAAATGCACTGTATGTAAAGTAAGTGTGATTGTCTTATGAGTGAATGGCAATAAAAATGGAAACACTCAAGAGACGCTTACTCATGAGTGGTCTATATGCATGCATATATATAAATATATATGTATATACATATACATACATAAGGAGAGAAAGGACCACCTCTTACTGCTGGGGCTTACTAGTATTATATTAAAAGCCTACAAACAATATACTGTAAGTGATAGTACATAATGAAATTAAGAACAAATCGGCCATTTCATTGCCTCTATGATTCCATTTTAATTCCAATGCTTAATTTTCCTCATCTCTAATACTTTGCCTGAAAAAAAATCTATTTAGGGATGAAATTCTAGTACAATGTGTTTAGATAAAGACCATCAGGGTTGCTTGTAGGAGGGAAGGTCCTTTTATAGGGACCATTAAAAAGGACAACTATGGTACTGCCGCTTTCAGGAGAAACCATACTTTATTTATTCCCAATGGCAGATTCGTCCATCAAACAAATTTTCAGCTTATTTTGCAGCTTTAGCTTTTATCGGCTTTTTTAAGGGTGTTGAATGATTACCCGAGAGATCACGCCATAAAATTTGCAGTAGGGTGAAGTCACGATATCCACTAGTTTCTCTATAGAATAAGTAGGGAAATTTATTTATCGTTGTTTTCAATGTACCGCATGGGAAGTCCCTGTTTAAGTAGTCTTAGTGGGCTTTTTTTTTTTAAACATCTCTAATCTTTATAGTGTCCAGATTGCTTAGCCTAATGAAATGCCACAGGAAGACCATGCATGAGAATAATTTACCCTGAGGAGCTAGGTTCCCCTCTCTATCACACTGAGGGGTTAGTACTGCTAATATTACAAATGATTTTAGGTCTAAGAGCTTGTAAAGCTTGTATATTACAGTGAATATGCCTCATTATCCTATCCTATAACATTAGAACCTTTGTATAGATCAGGGTAACTGTTTTCTCCAGTCTTATCTGTATAAATGATAGTTAATGCTCATTGTCACATTGACGAAATCTGGAATCTCGTAGGAGATGGGCCTAAGGTAACTGTGTTGTATTAATTGAGATGGGAAAACCTGTCCACTGAAGGTGGCGCCATTCCCTATCTGGGATTCTGAATGTACAGTGGAGAGAAGGAGCTGGGCAGCAGTGGGCATCGGCTTTCTAGAAGTGACTATGGTGTATGATCTCCCATTTCCTGTCCCTCCTTCTGGACTTCCCAGCCATGATGGAGTGTCCCCTCCAACTGGGGGCCAGATTTAACCCTGCCTCTTTTAAGTAGCTTTTGTCAGAATATTTTACCTCAGAAACAAAACAAAAAAATGAAACTAATACAGTGCACAAAATGTAAATATAGCTCATATTAAGCATCAATAATACTTAGAATCTATCTGATTAGGTCAGCAAGATTTAGCCTTTATGGAATGAAAAATAGAATTTGAAAAATTTTAGGGAGAGCAGTAACTTATTTTTAGTTTCTGTGTTGTAACTAGATATTTAAGTAAAAATAATTTTGTAGTGCCTAATTTAAACAGTTAGCTGAACATAGAACTTCCATTGTAAGAAAACACAATTTTCATGTTATTGCATAGTTGGTATTGAGGCTAATTGTGACAATGCACCATGGCACATAAAAGTTTTTCTGGGAGTTACTGAGACAAAGCCTCATGCAGGCCAGGCTGGTCATAAACTCACTCTGCAACTGAGAACTCCTGCTTCTCCTCCCTCTGGCTCCCATATTCTGAGATTTTAGGTGTGCACTACCATGCCTGGCCAGAGCGGTGTGTGTGTGGGGGGGAGGTGTATGTGTGCACATGCTCGTATCTGTGTGCTTGTGTCTGTGTATAGAGGCCAAATGTCATTACTGGATAACCTCTGCAGTTACTCTGTACCTTGCTTTTGGAGATCAGGTCTCTCATGGGATCTTGAGCTCACTGATTCTTCTTGACTGCCTGGGCAACACAGGCAGGACCTTTCTGTCTCCATTGGTGAATGCCGAGTAACAGGCACTTGCCGCCAAGCTGGTGTTCACATGGATGCTGTTGATCCAAGCCCAGGTTCCCATGCTTGCTCAGCAAGTACTTTACCCGCTGAGCCATCTCCCTGGGCCTCTTTTTGAGGCCCATTAATCCATTAACGAAAAGAAATCTTTGCATGGATTTAAGCATGAGCGGCATCTTGATAAAGATCTGTTCTGTTTCATTTTATCTTGTATTCGTGCAGTTCAGGCATCCTTTTCAATACGCCAGCAAAAGCAAGCTGTATTCAGCCACAGTGTTATTGATAGTTATGACATACACTGTGCATTATTAACGAGAGTGCTCTTCTCTTGTGCTTTATTTGTCTTGTTTTCAGATGCCAGCCTTGTCACTGTCATCCGGCAGGAGCCTTGAATGAAACTTGTGATGTGGTCACAGGCCAGTGTTTCTGCAAAACGTTTGTCACTGGCTCCAAGTGTGACACTTGTGTTCCTGGTGCAAGCCCCTTGGATGCCAACAATCTACTAGGCTGCAGCAAAAGTAAGTCCATTCTCGCCCAACGCTGGCACGTGACGCGCCAGGACCAGGGAAGAGGGCCTCAGTGCTTCCCTCCATTGAGAACTCATTAAAAAGTCCCAGGCACAGTCTGAAGAAGTAAACTACAGCAAATTTGTTAATCACACTAAATGAAATCTGCGTGCTTTTCCTTGATTAAATAATTGAAATTTCTGGAATGATTATGCTGGTAGTAAAACACTCACAGTGGTCTGCTGGAATGAAATCACTCGCAAAGGAAACACATTTCCCATTTCCCCCAGATGAGGAGATTTTCCCAAAACATCGACATTTACTGTTAAAACCATGATATTACTATTTAAACAAAGCCAGTTGGCTACCTTAGCTCCCAAATGTATTTCCAAGTAATTTACTATAACAAATAGAAGCTTTGTTATTTATTACAAGTTTCATGTACTATGCTTAAAGTTTCACGAATACTATTCTAATGATGTTTATTAATATTATAATTTTATAGTTATTACTTTCACACTATACTGAGTCCTATAATTGATGTTCTGTTCTTGCTACTTCCTATTTCATATTAGTCATGAGTCTGCATCCCACACTTATAATTTTACTTATTTTACTCAAATAAGGCATTTTAGTGTCTTCTGACTTTGTACCGCTCTTCAATGCCCCAAATTGACGGCTGAAGGTCGCCTATAGTCCTTCAATTTATAACTGTGGATCATGTTCCTGTGTTTACTCTAAGACCATGTATCCATGCTTTCCCAGAATTCCTAAAAGATGGCTCCTGGACATTTGATAAAGAGCACTCTGCAGTATACTGTTCTGTGCATACTCTCCTCATGGGACTTTTGGTCTGTCATGAGACAGATGCTAGAAGAGTCCCACATCCTGATGCCACAGGTGGCCAGTTTGTCTGGGAAAACAGCATACCTGGAAGCCCACTCTCTACATTTAAGGGAGGTGGGAAAGGAGAGAGAAGGAGAAAGAGAAGGGGAAGACCGAGAGGGAGAGAGAAGGGATAGTGGGATCTACAACTGGCTTATATGTGAATAACAGCCATTCAGTTAACAAACTTGACAAGAATGTGAGGGCACGGGTAGACATTGGTATGGGACCTGTTACTGAGACTGTGAGCTGCTTCTGGCTGTTGTCTGTGGTTAACAGGTGTCAAAAGGTTTTCATGCCCACGGTGGTGGCCCACGCCTTTAATCCCAGCACTCAGGAGGCAGAGGCAAGCGGATCTCTGTGAGTTCAAGGCTAGTCTGGGCTACAGAGTGAGGAAAGGCACAAAGCTACGCAGAGAAACCCTGTCTTGAAAAACCAAAAATAAATAAATAAGTAAATATATAAATAAGGTTTTCCTGAAAATCCCTAAGTAGCTCATGGTGTCCCTCCACACAGGCTGTAACCACAGGATGATCTCCATGGTTGTATTTCCTATTTCCTGGAAACATACTGATGATAGTTTACCCATATCATCTCTGATTAGTGGGGAGAGGGATGGGAAGTTTCCAGTGGGATCCTGGGATATAACTTCCAAATTGCTGAGGACTGCATATAATGAAAGTAGTGATGCCCTCTCTGTTGGTCAAGTCACTTCTTTCCCATCACTTAATTTCATCCTTTCAAGAGCTGCTCACCTCCCTGGATTAGAAAGACAGAAGAAAATTGGGGATTAAATAGTTTTTTTTGCATTGCTTCCTAGTAAATTATAGCTTGTTCTAAACTTCTATGTTTGAACTTCAACAAAACTATATATATGCAAATGCATATATTCATATGTTTTAACCATTCATAGCTCACTTGCATTTAAGAATATTAACCTCAAAGCAAAATCAAGAGACCATTTCATTCATAATTATATGAAAATAAGACATTTAGTAATTCTGTTAACAGAAGAGATATGAGACCAATATGCTGTAACTGCAAGAGTTTTGCTATTACCATACATTTTAGAAGAAAAGTCTTTTTATCAGTCTCTCCCATGTTACATATATTTGGAATGCAATTTAGTCTTTTATCTTGAGACCCTGAAAGATTCACCAGATGGCTTCAGATATTTTGTATAAAATATCTGTAACTATTTTAATAGTTTCAGTTCTTTGCAAGTTTTTTGAAAATATCTCTTGATAAAAAAAGGATTGTGTGGCGCACGCCTTTAATCCCAGCACTCGGGAGGCAGAGGCAGGCGGATCTCTGTGAGTTCGAGGCCAGCCTGGGCTACCAAGTGAGCTCCAGGAAAGGCGCAAAGCTACACAGAGAAACCCTGTCTCGAAAAACCAAAAAAAAAAAAAAAAAAAAAGGATTGTGGTTTTAAAAGGCAGTCATATAGCTGTGTGGACCCTTGACAGCTCATTCAGTGGCAAATTCTGCTAGATCACCTCTTTCAGAGTAGGTGGAGCTTGAACTTTGGAAGTTGTTTTCTCAGATTTCTTTTTCCCTCTATCTCTTCTGTGTATTCTGGGAAAATAACAAAGCTCACACTTGAAAATTGGAAGATTCCTCTAGAATACAGGAAAATTGGTGATATAAAAGGATAGGGTTTCCAGAGTCAGTTTTAATATTTCGTTGCAATTGGATGAGTGCTCTATATGCAGGGTGAGCGATCTAAACATAAGAGCACCCTTCACAAGTACTAGTCTAGTCCCAAACAGGATTCACATTTCACAGTGTTTAGATTTTGTTTTTGTTTTTGTTTTTCGAAACAAGGTTTCTCTATGTAACAGCTTTGGCTGTTTCTCTATGTAACTTGCTTTGTAGATCAGGCTGGCCTTGAACTCATGACAATGTTTAGATTTTTGACACTCATATCTATTTATGTCACCAAGCATTAGTCCATGAAATTATGTCATTTGAAGTAAAGTTGACCTTGTACTTAGTAGAATGGAAAACTATTCACCATCTTAGAAGTATGCCATTTAAATATCAAGTTTCAAGGGAATCGTGTGTCTGTTTTTAAATTCAGTAGAAAAATAAATGTTAAGATTAAAAAAAAAAACAAAACTAAGGTGCAGAAATGCTTGACTGCCCCGTGGTTTTCACCTAACCCCATCTATGTCCGCTGCTCTGACCGATAGGTGTGTCTACAGGTGTGTCTTATGCTTGTAGATAAAAAGCTTTGTCTTAGAGAGTTAGTGATGCATACCCTTTGTTTATTAATGTCTTGGTAAACCACACATCATCTTGATAAAGTGACCCTGAATCAGAAAGACTTCTTTGCTAGGCATCGTACTTCAGTTTCCTAGTGTGTTTATCGATTGCTTCTGTTAATATATGCTCTCTCCATTGCCATTTAGCTCCAACCCAGCAACCTCCACCCAGAGGACAGGTTCAAAGTTCTTCCTCCATCAGTCTCTCCTGGAGTCCACCTGCTTTTCCCAATGCCCACTGGCTTACTTACACTCTGCTCAGGGATGGTTCTGAAATCTACACAACTGAAGATCAGCTCCCATACCGTGAGTTCTAGGATTTGGTCATGGAAAGATGTGGTATTCTAAGAGTGGATGTCAGTCAAATTCTCTGACATTGAGGGAAAACATCATAGTTCCTTCTGTGAGCAAAGAGCGTCTCATGCAGCGAGAATTATAAATCTCACTTGGAATCAAAAAAACACAATGAAAATAAGATGTATAGTGTTTGGTAAGATGATTATCGACTTTCCTGAGAGGAAAGCTGTGAGTGCATCCATCATGATTGGTATATCAAAACCGGAACATTAATGAACTTCAGAGTGTTTGTACTGGTTCACAAGCATAGCCTTTTGCACACATTAAATTGTTAAAAATATATGAAATGTCTTCCCATCATATCATGTATCATTGGACTCATACTTACCATAGAAATTTTATCATAAATAAAAAGCTACAAATGAACACAAAAATCCCATATCCATTCCTATATGGTTTGTAATATTAAAATGTTAGAAATGATTCAGACATCCAGAAGTCTTACAGTATGGTATCTGCAAAACGTAATCAATCCTACTACACTGCTAAAAATGTTATAGGCTATGAAAAAGTGTGTCTTGCAAATCAATGGAGGAACACTATAACATTCGGATTGAAGAAATTAAAAGGTATAAAAACATATGAATTGTTACATTTCAGTTTACAAAGGTTGAAAGTGTGACATCAAGTAGACTACAGTTTTCTCTGGAAGTAAATATTACAGAAATTTGTCAAGAGTTCCAATTCTCGTCTTTTCAAGTTTACGGACAGAGTCTCTCATGACCCAGCCTGGCACTGAAGTGCTGGAATTATAAGCATACATGACTGTGCCCCGATCATGTTTTTGAATTCTAGGTAGTGCAGATTTTGAAATCTGAATCATGATACTTACTAATAGTGATTCATATGATATAACTTTATGTAAATGGTGCCTCATTCACGCAGCTGCAGCACAGCACCAAAGGCTTACATTGAAAGAGAGATGCTAAGAACACAAGCAAGAAGACTGATCGGGACTCAGTAACTTTTGTAAACCTATGAAATGAGCTTGTTGATGTTCAATTTCAGGAAATTATCGTTTTCTGTTTTTTTGTTTTTTGTTTTTTTATGTAAGAAAAGCTCTTTACAGTCCAGGTCTTTTATTTCTTGTTGTACATTAGGCCATGAATTCGTATGGAATGGGCTCCAGCAGCTCAGGCTCCTTCCCGTTAGTCCTGACAAAGTGTGCTTCTCTGGGTGGGGCGGGCTGGCGCTTCAGCTGAAGGAAATTATCATTTTTAATTGAACTCAGGTGCCTTAAATACGGCATCCTTAATACACTGAAGGTTTTTTTGGTTGTTTGTTGATGGGCTCACAGCTCTGTCAGCTTCTGCTTCTAGTCCTGCTTAATTACAGACTATTTTAGAAAACTGCCTTAGGAAATCTTAAAAGAGTGGAACCCACTGAAGCTACCATTTCCTTGTCTTTTGCACTCCTTTTCTTTCAAATGTTGCATTTTCTTTATTGTGATTGTGTATGCATGCATGCCATGCCACATATGCAGAGGTTGGAGCACAACCTTTGGAGAGTCAGCACCCTCTTCCCAGGGAGGTTTCCAGGTACCTGCCTCAGGTTGTCAACCTTGCTCAACAAGCACTTTTACCTGTAAGGCCACCTCACGTGCCCTCCAATTCTTATGTAACATGAATAAGCATCTTTAACATGCACGTAAATCAAAGTTAAAAGACTGGCATTCCACAGCCTTCTTTAACATGGATGGAAGAAAGCCAGGTTTCACATACTGTCTGGCCTCAAAGCTCCTAAGTAAATGACAGACACTTTTTATCTATTATATCAGCAGATTACATTCCAAATGTAATCTAATCATGTCTTGCACCTACTTTTTATTGTGTCCTCCACTTTCTCTTCACGCTAAATATCCCTTCCCCATTTCTAGTCTTCTGTGGAGTTAATGGAAATTCTGAACTTCACAATGCAGGTTGGGATGGGAAGCAAACATCTGTCCACATCTGCCATGTTGGCAAAGCATCCAAAAACCTGCTACTAAAATGTCTATTTTCTTCCAAAAGTCAGCAGGATCCAGGTGTTCTGAAACTTAAACTTTAGTGACGGGGGAAAGAGGGAGTTATAAAAATATTGCAAATGGTTTCTGAGTTGACAGGACTACTGATTGAATTATCTCTGAAGATGCAACCAGACTGGCTCCATTTTCCAAGCAGCCTTGAATTTAATTTGAACCCATCAGTGGTCCATTCAATCCATGTTCCTCACAGTAGCATGTTGTGATCTACTTGATAAAATGGTACATAGGAATACAGCACCAAGGCTTTTTGTGTGATTGTACTAACGTAGAATCCAAACAATGGTTTTGTAGGTAATAAATATGCACTCATTCACTAAGACATTTCCATAATCCTATTAAATAAAGTATTATTTCCTAAAACATTATTTTTCATTAAAAATGCCACATCTGGCATTTGTCGACAACCATCATAATTAATGATGTGAAAGTTATCTGCATGATGGCATTTGAACAGTGGGCGCAATCAGTGAGCACGGTCAGAACTTTCCAGCATTCTAATAATACCCTGTGTTTATTGCTCCAGCCTCAGTGCCTGGGTAGCATGAATAACATGAAAAGGAAACACTATTTCTATTCAGCCGAACGAGCACAGATCTGCGGGTTAAACGAAGGCAGTTGGAATTAGAGGAGGAGAACCGCTGAACTTTTCAAAGAAAATTAATAGTGTTGTCTTCCAAGCAAGTTTGATCATTTAGTCGAGACCATTATAGAATTCCTCATTAGTATAGAAACTTCCCCTGGCTAGCCTGGAGTCCTAAGGGATGCTCTCGGAGAGTATTTTCTTACCATCATCATTTACCTCTATATTATCATCTTTAAAGCTTTTGAATGACTTTTCTTTGGTAATAACACACTGTATGAGTTGACATTAAAACCAACAGCCAGACACACTCATTATGGGGGATCATTTGAAAGTTTCTGCATAAAGCTGGTAACTAAGTTATAGTATATTCAGTGGTTCCCGAAATAAAATGTTAACTGGTACACATCCCACATGCTGTGAGAAGTAGAAGAGTATGTGATTGAGTTAGCACTTTGTTTTTATTATGATTTATTTATTTATTTGCTTCCATTTTTGAGAGGGGGGAGAATATGTGTGTGTGTGTGTGTGTGTGTGTGTGTATGTGTGTGTTTGGCATGTGCATATGTTTATATATGTATTTTATGTGTATAGATGGGTGCTTGTGTTTGCATGTGCTTATGGAGACCCAGTATACACTCACTTAGTCTCTTAGCCAAACCCAGAGCTTATCAATATGTCAATCACTAGCCAGCTTACTCTGGGAAACTGCTATCTCAGCCTTATGAAACTGGAATTACAGACAACTGACATAATCTGGTATTTATATGAATACTGGGGACTTGAATTCCAGTCCTCATGCTTGTTCAGCAAGAACTTAACCACTGAGCCATCTCTCCAGCCCTCAAGTTAGCGCTTTAGACTTCTGCCCACTCAGCACTTTGTGGTGACTCCCCACCCCACCCTATACCTGGCTTTCTAAAGGCCTCTGCTATATCATCAGTGAGAAGAACACAGTTATCAAAGACAACAGCATCCTTTATTTAGTGTTTTATATTTAAGACCTTCTCAGTAAGTTTTGTATATATACACATATATTAATAGTGTTGCCTTCCAAACAATGTATGTTATATATATTGAAAACAAAGGAATACCAGACATAATAGAGAGATGGAACCTAAAACTGAAAGTCATCATCCTTGCTGATGACATACATTTTCAACTCCAGGAACTGAGTAAGGGGTTGAAAATGTAGCTCAGTGATAACATGTTTGCCTAGTACACTTGAGGTCCTAGGTTTGAGCCACAGCAAAACAAAACAAAACAAAAATAAACCTAGCTATGGGGTTGGAGAGGTAGTTCAGTGCTTAAGTGCATATAATACATTTGCAGAAGACCTGAACTGAGTTTGGTTCCCAGGATCTCTGCTGGTGGATCACAACCACTTATAAAACTTCTTTGGACTTCCACAGGCAACTACCTTCATGTGCACATACCTAGACACATACACAGAAATACACATAATTAAAAATAAAAATAAACCTTATGAAGAGGAACTAACAGTTATCTTATTACTGATCCAGGTGTGCCAATGATCATTGTGACATTATTCATCGTGAACATGATATGGAATCACCATAGGTACTCATTGAAGGAAGCATGGCTAAGGAAAATTAATGGATTCAGTTTACATGATGGACTATTACTTATCCATCAGGAAGAATAAAATTTTTCTTTATAATCTAGAGGAAGATGGATGAGATGCTATCATAGTGAGTGGAATAAGCCAGACTAGATACAGGATTATCACACATAATCTCTCATATGTTGGATGCCGGTATTTTGTAAAAGATATGGAGATAGGAGTGGAGTGTATCTGAGAAGAAAAACTAGAGCCAGAAGGAGGAGGTCTGCACATGAGAGAGGAAAATGATGAAAGTAGAGTGTATCAGTGGATGAAAGTGTTACAATAAAACTCATTATTTTATGTATGCTGATAAAAAAAAGTCATATAGGAGGACACACCCATCCTCTTCAGGGACTCAGAGCAGAAAACAGAGAAGTCAGTAGGCAGGTGTGACCTCATGGCAAAGTCCTTGTTCCTGATTTGCTATTGGTATAAACTGTTATTTCTCCTGCAGGATGATTGCAGGGATGGGGAGTTCTTCTATAGGGGGACCCCATGGAGAGCAAAACACAGACAGAAATATACTTCTAACTGTTCTTTGATGCATTCAACACTTTACTCACAACATACTAGACAATAAGTTTTTTCACAGGAAACTGCAGGGTGGTTGATTCTTACCAAGCAACACTGTTCTTACACATTCTCAGCCTTGGAGACAAGACCACATATTTTGAAAATACAATGATCTGGCAAGTACTTGACCCTGGGGTGAATCTCCTCCTTGGCCACCATCAGAAGCAGTCCCTCAGGGAGTTTTTCATTACAGAGCCTTGGTAAGCTTCTTCCATTCAGGGCACCATGGCAGCACATTAGCAATGGAGTCTGGGTCTCAGCCCTAGTGGACTCCTCTCTGAACAGGGGTGGTGATGTTTCTCTGTCTCTCTCATCCTTTACTTCTGTGGAGGATGCTGTACTCCTTGGTCAGTAGAGCACATGAGATATTCATCTGATGGTTGTTTCCAGGAAGAAATTGCACGGATGTGTCCCCAGAACAATGAAAGCACCTCCACTCAGGTCCTCACTTATATTGTGAAGCCTACTCCTCTGCCTCTCATCCCTCAACTGCCACATTAAGTGGCATTTAGGGGAGGATTATTTCCCTCTGGCCTTTAGCAGAAGTTTCTCCTGAGGATACTGGCTTGTTGAAGTGCAGTGGACCAGTTTCATCCTTGGCATCCCCATGGCACTGACTTCAGGTGAAGCTGCGTTTTCTACAGCAGTCAGGTTCTTGTGAACACTCCACCACATTCTGAGCTTTTCCCTCCTGCATCCAACATCTGGCCCTTCCAGAGGTTTAAAGTCACCTTGCCCCAATCAAAGCAGTCCCATGGGTGGTCCACTGGCTCTCAGCACCGAGTCCTTTCCATTCAGAAATCCAAGAAACTCTGTGGATTAAAATTAGACTCCAGGTATCTATTACTCCTTAGGCATCTAGATATGCAGAAACCTTCAGTCTTGCTGTAACAGAAACCTCCATGGACACTCACACAATCACACAAAGAAGCAGTCAGCAGCAGTCTGACATTTCTTTGTTTCATAGTTGTGCAATGTATTTGCTGTTGTCTCTGTAGAGAAGAGAGGATGTAGGCACATAGCTACTCATGGCCACTACATACCTCTCGTTTATCAACCTCTGCTTTCTACCACCTTCTCCCTGACCTTTCCATCATTTGTGCATGGAGATTCTGCTCATCTCAAACTTCTCTTGTACAACCTCTCTGTGACTGACAAATATCTCCAAGATTTGACAAAATTCATTTATGGTTGTATATCATTTTAATTGGTCAAGAAGGGGCCAAGGTATTAGGCAGGAGAAAGGGTAGTTGCTTGGTGGCAGTTTGCAGAGGGCTGGACTTGTGTATCAGCTTTTGGCAAATAGACCAGTTGTACTGAAAGCAAATATGTGTTTCAGAGATTGCAAGGACTTCCTCTGGATTCTTCTATAGGGGGACCCTGTGGAGAACAAAACACAGACAGAAATACACTTCTAAGTGATCTTTGATGCATTTAACACTTTACTCACAACATACTAGACAATAAAAGCAACCAGTAGTTGCCTGATTTCCCTTGTAAAAGCATCAAACACACCCTGATTCTAAAGAGTCGATCAGCACACTACAGAGTTAAATAGCATGAGAATAAGGCCATTGGAAATGATTCCTTGGCAACTGTGAATTCTGACTATCTGTTTTTTCTTTTTTATTTCAGATACTCAGTACTTCTTTGACACTAGCCTGTCACCACACACGTCATATTCATATTATATAGAGACCTCCAATGTGCATGGTTCAACCAGGAGCACAGCTGTCATTTATGAGACGGAGCCAGAGGTCTCAGAAGGACACTTGAACTTGACTCATGTCATTCCTGCTGGCTCTGACTCTGTGACACTTACCTGGACTGCACTCCCCAACCACTCTGGTCCTGTAGAGAAGTATGTTTTATCATGCACACCTATGGACAGCATTGAGCCCTGTGTCTCCTACGAAGGTCAGGAAACCTCAGCTACCATCTGGAATCTGGTTCCATTCAGCCACTACCGTTTTTCTGTCCACGGATGTACTAGTGGGGGCTGTTTACACAGCTTGCCCATTACAGTAACCACAGCCCAGGCACCTCCCCAAAGGCTGAGGCCACCTGCAATACGGAAAATCAGTTCCTCAGAACTCCACATAGAATGGTCTCCACCGGGGAAACCAAATGGTAAGAATTTAATGCCTCGAATTCTCCTTCTTTTAGGAAACCAAGACAGTAGAAATGAAGAATTATATAGTAAGATGGGCAACTCTCTTTGCTTATGTGAATGTAAGCCATATGCCTGGGAAATGATTTCTGAAGATATAAATACTATTTCTACTGGACAGTAGAAGAAGATATTTCATCTAATTGAGGAACAAATTCCATTCAATTAAATTGCTCTTTAAAAGGCTAATATTATCTTTGCTCTTAATGGCATCTGCCACAACACAGATGATGTTCATAATTGGATGCTCACTTATAAAATGCATTATATTTGACTGAGTCACAAGTTAGGGCACCCATAAGCTGCAAATTTTCTCTTTTAAGCAAGATAAAGATATAAAATAATACAAAAAATTGTATATAGGCTAGTTGATTCCATTAAGTTAATTTTTGTGTTCTTAAAATTGAACCTTGAGGTGCAGAGGCCAGACACACATTCCTAACTTTTTACTAATTTAGATTATGTACATATCATGGCAAAACTTAGCATCAAACTTTTTGTTGCTTGGTAAAAACTAGATACAAGTAGCTACACAATACTTATGCAGATCTGTCTTATGTCAAATATGTAATTAAATCCACAGTTTAATTATTCAATTATAAATTCAAAATGTGCAAACTGGAAGTGGAATATGCAGGTACCCTAAAAGTATTGGATATCCTTAGCAGAAATTATGAGTACCCATTCTGCAAATATTTCATTTCACCTATGGTAAATTATGGTTGTTTTGTATTTATACTTCTTTTGATTTGCTTTCTCCCAAAATAACATGGCCTTCACGCTATTTTGTAATAAGTTTTGCTGCTTTCATATACACCTGTCTTATAGATCACCAAATTTCTACACCTAGAAAAGAATCAACAGGTAATATAGTCAGAATACTAAAAAGCTAGCAGCCTTAAATGTCCAGTCCCTAAATAGTCCCTTTGACTAGGTCGCTTCAATGTACTATCTCTTTTCTAGGTATAATTGTAAGATATGAATTATACATGAAGAGATGGCCATCTACTAAAGAAAGTCGCGTGTTTGAGAGCAGTGGTTGGCTCAGTCCTCACCCAGCTTCAAAGTCACCCAACAAGAGTGAAAACACACTTCAGCCTCCCCAAGTCAATGTGTCCATCTCTGGCTTGGAGCCACACACAGAGTATGCATTTAGGGTCTTAGCTGTGAATATGGCTGGCAGTGTGTCATCGGCCTGGGCCTCAGAAAGAACAGGAGAATCAGGTAAAGACCAATGCTTTGACTTCTTATTTAAAAACCCCTCAGTGAAAGTGTTATCTGGAAATTAAGGTCAAAAAGACATTTGAGGTGAAAAGAGGACATGATTTAGCTATGAATTCATTTGTGGGGGAGAAAGCTTAATTCTAGCTCTAGTCTTTGGGTACAGGGGTCCTTCCCCCAAATAACAGTTGATTTCCAGTGTCGGATGGGTGGGCACTTAAGCTAATATTGCTTTGTGTTTGTCATTGTTTACCAACAGTGAAAGAGTTTTCAGTTTTACAATTAACTTTTTTTCTCTTTTCAAAAAGAAAAAAATTAAGGTAATCAAGTTTACACAATGACATAAATTAGTACATCAAAAAGTCTACTCCCAAGTGTGTTTAAAAACAATCAGAATTAAGGTATGGGAGGAGAGCCAAAAGTTTAGTTTTCTCATGGTATCTTTATCAAGGTAACTGATTTATTCTTAATTTTCCACTTTATTCCTCACATAAAGTGGACTTTCAATTCCATGAGCATTGAAGAAAATAAGTATATTTTTGCTATGTGCTGAATCTACAAATATTAAAAAAAAAAACCTGCCCTAAATTTAACAGATTGAAACTATGAAGGTTGAAGGTAGCTTTGAATGGATGTCCAAGGGCTTCATTGAGTGAATAAAATGTGCATTGTGTTGGACGATCTCTCAAAGACTACTTAATATCTTGGACAAACTAGAGGGCCATGAGAGCAGAATTATTGAGTCATGGAGTTCTGGAAGGGGAAAACTAAGATCAGAAATGGGATATAACAGATCCATGTATCCTCATAATTTTATGGATCACTTGGAAAGGAAAATGCAATGAGGCCCTTTGACAACACATCTTTGATAGTTCATTTAAATTCTATACAAAGATGTCAAGGATGGTGGGAGTAAAGTGTGTGGTGTCTGTGTGCTGTGAACATTTCAGGAAGGACTGAGCAAAAACTGAGTTTCTTTGGGACCATTTAGTCAATTTTAGCTGTACTTCTTAGTGGAATGATTTTCCCCAGCTTCACTGGTTCGTCTCAGTGAAACATGGCTTTCCATGAGAAACCTAGTATGGCATCCTGCATCTTATGCTTTGGGGACTATGACAAGTTCTGCTTCTGTCTTATTCAAATTTCTTATCAAATTATTCACTACCTATCTTCATGAAAATAGAGAAGTTTCTATCAGAGTTTCTGTGTGTGTGTGTGTGTGTGTGTGTGTGTGTGTGTGTGTGAGAGAGAGAGAGAGAGAGAGAGAGAGAGAGAGAGAGAGAGAGAGAGAGAGAGAGAGAGAGAGGAGAAAGCACATGCTTGTGTGCATGCAGAGTCTACTAGAGGAAGCCATTAGGTGTCTGTTCTGTCATTCTCCACCTCATTTCCCTGTGACAGGGTCTCTCACTGAACCTGCAGCTAGGCTGCTGACTACCAATCCCCAGTGAGCTTCATATCTTTGCCTGACATGGCAATGGGGTTACAGATGTATTTGAGGTCATCCCCAGCTTTCTGCATACACACTAGGATCTGAACTCAGGTCCTCATGCTGTGTATCAATTGCTCTTACCCACTCAGCCGTCTCTCTATCATGTCAGTCTGAATTTTATTTTGTAAATGAAAAATACCTTACCTAACAATATCAGGATAGTAAGCATCCCTGTGGATGACAGTTTAAAGTGAATATGTAATATATATCTGCATATTTTTTAATTTCTGAAAATGAAAACACTTTAAAAAGAATAGGGTTTTGAAGAAACTAGAATAGCTAAATCTGAAATTTTGTATGGATGACATTATTGCATTTGATGTTGTTTTTGTCTTTGTTAGCACCTGTGTTCATGTTCCCTCCTTCCGTTTCTCCACTCTCGTCACACTCTCTCAGTGTCTCCTGGGAGAAGCCAGCAGAACACTTAACAAGAGGAGATATTATAGGGTACAACATCAGCATGGTTTCTGAACAGTCCCCTCAACAAGATGTTCCAGTGATGTGTTCAAAGGTATTTTTATTCTCAGCTCATTTCCTTTCTGAATTAAATTATGGCTTTATTTGATATTTTCTGAATTTACAGAATTCTGTGGAAGAATCTCTCTCCAAATGTGTTCATCAAATGGGCCATGTTCATTAACATAACATCAGATGTTCAAGGTCTTCTGTCTATATATGCTTATCACTTATTTTTCTAATGTGCTGAACTAAAGTGGTTGTAATTTTATTTCATGAGACCTGCTGTTTCCACTTAGTCTTAAATATTTTCCAAGAAGTCCTTTCAACAACTATGTACTATGTAAGATAATCTGAAAATATTATTTGATCACATAATAGTGCATTTAACCAGTCCACAATCTGTCAGTATTTATATTGTATTCATTTGGATGTCAAAATGACATTGACAAGACCATCTCATATGCACATTTTGTCTATGTCTTCATTTCCTTGGGAAAAGTCATGAAGAACCAAATTGATTACAATGTAACAGAAATCATGGCAGTAGGGCTGAAAATGAAGCCCTGTTGATAAAGTGCTTGCCTAGCATGTGTTAAGCCTTGGGCTTGTTTCCCAGTACTACATAAAACTAGGCATGGTAGCATAGGTCTGTAATTCAACCACTCTAAAGCAAAGGGAATAAGAGATGATGTTCAAAGTCACCCCAACTACCTAGTGAGTTTGAGGCTTGCTCAGGTTATATGAGACCTGTCTCAAATTTTCTTTGTTGATATAATTCATATAAATGCTATTAATACAATGAATTTGCTCAAGGCTTTGGATGTATGTTCACATCTTGTCTTCTAGTAATATCTACTCCAGTGATGAGAATATAGAGTGTTAACAGTTACAATGCCTTGCTGTATCCAAGTTCTAGCTCATTGGATATGAAAGATTCTAGAAAATGAGAGGCTCTCATTCCCTCCAGTTTAGAAATGAAGTACTTTACCTTTCTAGTCTGTATTATAGACATAGTACTGTACACGGATAGAGGCTATTGGTGTCACCTTCATGTGTCATCCTATATTCTTGCTTGCTCACTTCTATTTCTGAGGGACATAGTCTTTGATGAACACTAGCATGAGATAATAAGATCTCCACACCTCTTGTCCAATATACGCACTTCCTGTTTCCTTGATTTCACATACTCCGATCTTCTGATCTTGTTTCATGTCCATGACCAGAGTGGTCAAGTTCTGTCACACAGTCCACATGTGTTTTCCCTTGAGATGCTTCTCTTCCATGTACTGTAGCAGGAATCTTAGAGAGTCTTATTAATAAAATCAAACCTGTAGCCAGGTATTGGGGTGAAGCTGGAAGATCAGAGAACCAGAACAAGCCACAGCTACCTCACCTCGCCGGATCCTCAGCTGATTCTGTTTCCTCAGACTGGAAGCCTCTGAGTCCTCATCTGAATGAATCTCAGCTGAACTGCTGCTTAAAAGCCTGAATGCTCAACCAGCCAAAAGCTTAACCAGGCCGAATGCTTCTAGTTTCTGGTCCTCATGCCTTATATACCTTTCTGCTTTCTATCACCACTCCCTGGGATTAAAGGCTGGCTTTCTGGGATTAAAGGCATGAGTCACCATGCTTGGCTGTATCCTTGAACTCATGGATTTCTGCCTCTGAAATGCTAGGATTAAAGGTGTGTGCTACCACTGCCAATCCTAAGTATCTAGTGGCTTTTCTGTTCTCTGACCCCAGATAAGTTTATTAGGGTACACAATATTTTGGGGAACACGATATCACCACATTGTATAGTGGGGAAACAAGTACAATGCCTGAAGGTTCGTCCTCTGAGAATATTTGTCTTCACTGCTATTTCTGAGAGCCACCATAGTGGGACCATGTAGCAGCAGCCACCTAGCCTATCCTTGTAGTTACTTTCTAAGACAGCCTTGGTGTTCAGCGCTGGTGTTCTCCTTTCTTTATGGTTTAGAGATAACTTCCAAGAGCTGCATGACATTCTTTGGGCTGTCCTCAAGCCTTAGATTTCCATTTCTACCATAGGATGCATTTTGGTTGAGTCTATCTGACCTTAAAACTTGACATATCTGAAAGGGAATCCAACCAATGAGAAGTAAGTCCAACTGTGTATTCATTTGATGTTCTGCTGGATGCTCTGGTGTGATGAGAGCCCAGTAGCTTGCGGAGAGACTTAAGCAAATAGTTTAGGGTGACTAGAATTCCTATCACTTTATGTGCCTTTGCTCTGCCTACTGTCTACCTTGTAGCTCTCTTTCCACAAATATATCACAATATTTTCCCACTATGATGTGTCCCAGAGCCATTGGATCTAGCAGGTTTAATGTCCCAAAAAGTTCATCAGCCAACAGCACAGCCTGACCCTAGGACTAAGCTACTTCCTGCTCTGGGACAAATCAAGTAGCAGAATTTCATATTGACATGCTGGTCAGAACAGTACCCATATGGAAGTTTCTTCACCAGACATTGAGCTTCTTAATGAAGGGTTCAAGATAAAATGCTTTTAAGGATGCAAGACATAGCTATTTTTCTTCTACTTTGGACTGGTTACATGTCCTAGATGTCACAGACAACTTGGCCTCCTAAAACCCCAGCTGATGCTCCAAATCCCTTAATCTTTTATAAAGTTAATCTCCTACTCTCTGGAACACACAGCTTACTAAACTTCCATACGCTTGTTTCCTGCTTATCTGATCCATTTAACATGATTTTATTGACACAGACAAACAATACTTTCAAGAAGGATTGTATAGTTTCTCTTAAATTGATGATGACCCTAAGATTATCTTTATTTACTACATAGATGACATTGGCAATAGCCATCTGATTGCACAGTCCTAAAAATTAATACTCTCTCTAAAGTCACCTTAATGATTAGTCCACCACTAATATAAGTTTAAAAATTGTGCTGCTCTAGCAAAGTTGTAGGCTGCCAGGAGTCTGCCTACCTGAATCCTCATTGTCAGCCATCTGGGGTGGTCCAGCTGCAGGATACCACTTCAATACTTTGACATCTCCCTCCTATGAATCTAATGCCTCACATGACTGTTATAGTTCTGTTTTTCCAGAGGACATCAACCAAAGTCAAAGACTTGAGAACAGGATATATGGTGGGTATACTCAGAAACAGCAGATAGTATAAGGAAGTCTGTCACTATTGAGAGTAAGAAGCTAGGGTATGAAACCACTGTTAAAATGTCTCAACTGATATCCCAGACAGCTCTAGAACCAGAATCCTTTAAAGCTGCCACAAACAAGGTAGAGATCCCAGGCTTTTCAACCTCGGCACTATTTGTTTACAAACACTGCCTTCAAAATCACCATAAACTGAGTGGGTTACAATGGCATATATTGATTCTCTCAAGTCCTAGAGTTCAGAAGACTTAAAACCAAGCTGCTGGGAGAGCCATACTCCTTCCATGTACCCTAGAGGATGTCCTTACCTGCTTCCTCCAGCTTCCTCCAGTTGCTTGGTGACACTCTTTGCATGGTGCCAACATATTTCTCATTTCAGCTTGGTCAGCTTGCTTTACCACGACTCCCTCTGTCTGTGGGGGTTTTCATTCCTCCTAAAAGGGTGCCAATTGTCAGATTGAAGGCTAATCCTAAATGCTAGATGGATTAACTCATTTCTTCCACAAATAACTCATTTCAAAAGGTGAAATTCTCAAGTTCTGGGTAGACATGCATTTTGGGGAAGACCCTCTTTAAATCTCTGTGAATATATTTGCCTTTTTCTGAGCTGTTTTAGTGGACAGAACACACACACACACACACAACATAGAAATTTATTTTTTGTCTAGACAAAGAGTCAAAAATAAATTTATGATTCTCTATTGTCCTTTCCCATCCATCTGCATATGTGACTTTTTCAACTATCTCATGATAAAACAGCATCTAGTATAATAACATGCTTTTCAGTTCATACAAATTACTGTACAAATCTGCTGTACTGTAGTTGTTTAGGTAAATTTATAAATAAGACTGGTGTTTGGTCTTTGATCCTTATGTTCCATATTTATCATTGGCATTTTGGCTCACAGTTGTATTTTATCTATTCTTTTATTCTTAGGCTCATATAATTTTGGAATCATCACCTAAATAAACATTCCTAGTATACTTTGTTGTACTCCTGTAGGGAAATGACCTAAGAAATATTTGAAATGTTGCTAAACTCTGTGAGCATCTGAACCTGTGTCTACTTGTGAAGTATTATTTTCTATGAATGTCAAACCTAAGAACTAAGTCAGTAACTACATAGCCTCTTGAAAGAATCAAGAATCATAATAAAACATGAGCCACAGGGTTGCTACTGATATAATTCAACAGGCTTTTACTATATAACCTTTTTATAACTATAAATATCATACCTCAATGATAAAACATATAATATAGCAAATACATCAAGCAACACCATACTCATTTTTAACATTACCAAGTCTTCCATACTGTACATGGCTATATGACCTATTTGTAGCCTTGGTGGTACAGTACCATTGATTTATATGGGCACTATCACAAACATTTGACTGCTTGCCTTATGACATTAAATAGCTATGACATACCTAGGTAGGATAAACGTTTAGATCTTGTGATTGTAAAGAGCCACAATTACATATGCAATCTGGTCTGTGTTTTACCCAACCATCTGTACATAGTTCAATGAACGCATGTCAGTAGCCCTAAGAAAAATCATTTCATATTCATAATTCTGTCTCTGTGACATTCCCCCCTAAACATAACTTACATCTACCATCTAAGCAAGTTTTCATGGTTGCTTGTTATTGGTTCTAGTCATAATGATAGGATGAATTCTCTCTGGCTGTTTAATTGTTTATGGTCTTCTTCCCAACCTCTTTTGCTCAAACCCTCTGCTTTCATTTGAAAATGTAAGATGGTGACTATATTTCAAGAAATGTAACTATCAATCTAATTTATATGTTTATTTGGATAGGAAAGGAAGTGAGATTTGACCTAAGGGAATATTTATTCAGCATCCATTCTTTTCCCCTTTACAACTGTGGATGTTTTAAGCAAATGATGGAATGATTTAGCACCATGCCATTGTCCTATGCTCTGCCATCAAGTAGCGTGTGGCATCACCACCCTGCGTTCCTGTTGGCTTTGTTTGGACTTTTTCACGGTAACTGTGTCGATGTCGCCATCTTTATCTCTACCATTGGTGACAATAACCATACATCCATGCTGCTTTATGAGGCCATAACTCCGTTTTCTCATTTATCCACTCAGGAACTGCATTATTACCTCATAAAACAGTGTGATTGTACAATTATCAATTAAACCCCGGCTTGTTGAGACTTCTTTTTTGGAAATCGCTTTCCTTATAGGAGTTGGCAATAATTCCCTCTGCCTGAATTTGTGGGATTTGTAATGCCAAGATTATAGACTGTGCATTGATTATTATCTGACTATTATTATTGCTTTGCCTTGTAGCTGTTGCATTCTGCTAAGTCCCAGGACCTGTCTTATGTTGTAAAGGGACTAAGGCCGTATAGGATCTATGCCTTTACTGTCTCCCTCTGCAATTCAGTGGGCTGTGTAACCAGTGCTTCAGGAGCAGGACAAACCCTAGCAGCAGGTGAGTACATTCCAATTGAATATAAAGAAATACATCCTTGTTCAAATAAATACCTACAGTACTTCTGCATTTTGGACTTCACATGTGTCCTTTCTGTCTTTTTTGTTTTTAAACAAAGCAAGATATGGAGCCAAGGGTTATGGACACATCAGAAAAGCCCCAAATTAATATGGAATGAGAATGGCTCCTGTGCTCAGCTTCTACCTAGGACCACAAACTGTCCTGGCAGCTATGAGATGGATTTAAGAGGCATCCCATGAGGCCACAGGACATTTCTTCCCTCAATATGAACTTCTCTTTTGGGGTTGGGACTACCTACTCCTGTTGCATGGGGATATCTAGCCAGTTCTAGGTTGCCATGACACTATACATTTTTCATCTGTTGGAAAGGCAATTGATTATATATTATTTTATTCATGATTAATAAGACTCTCCTAAGTTTACACAATGTAATGGGAAAAATTGTTAAATCCTTGAATATGGTTTCTATCATTTTTGTTTGCTTTACTGCAAGCCAACGAGAATTATACAAAACTGAATACATATATCACTACCATCTTTGTACTCCACTAACAGCATTTAGACTATTTTCAACTCCCATTGTTTCTGTCTGCTCTTCTGCAAGGCTTAGTTCTCTTTATGGATGTATCTAAATGTACAGAGGTTAGGGGATTCCAACATGAATTAGAGGTATTGTACAAACATGTATTTAATCATCACCCTTCTATCTGTAGGTCTAAATCTATTGTTCCCATCTTCAGTTCTGGAACAACTAATTCGGTCCAAATTATGTCACATAATTACTTTTGCTTGTTACAATTTTCCATTGATGTGAAGAAAATCCCAATTCCATGACAGTGTGGTTTATTATCTCAACGACTAAATTCTTCATGAATTTATGTTTAATCTATGTGTATTTCAGATGTGTGAGTACATTCGAGGAGTATCAAGTGTATTAAATCATATGGAGACCCTACTTTTCCTATAAGCCAATTTCTTTTTATGAATTATAGGATTCAAATGTACTAAATTTGAATAAGAGAGGTGAATTCTATCTGCTTTAGGCAAAAGCGGCACAAAATTTGAAAGGATAGTCAATATCACAGATTAACAAAAATCAGACAGAGATTGAGCCAAGCTAAAGGTTGGCCTCTGGTAAAGATAGAGAGGCTCGGCAGTGAGGCAGGTGATGAGGCATTGCAAAGTCATCCCGTGCTGTTGCATACCCAGTGTTCATAGTAACACCTCCCTTGGGTGTGTCCAATCTGTATCTAATACTTTTAGTGATTGGGAAATGCTCATGTCTCAGACAAACCAGCATCACTAGACCCATCTTCAAAAGGATGCTTTCTGTGTTTTTATTTTACTTATACTTATTTATGTATGTGTTGTGTGTGTGCACACATGCATAATCACACACATGCGCAGTGCATGAGTGGCGGTCAGAGGACAGTGTGTGAGTGTCAACTCTCTCCACCATGTAGGTTCTAGAGATTGAACTCAGGCCCTCGATTTTGGTGGCAAGCACCCTGAACTGCTGAGCCATCTCCCCAGCCCTGGAGAAGTGAGTTCTGAAGTGGACTGAAAATATCTACCTCTAGTTTCTATTTAACAGTCTTCTCTTGGAGGCTGCTGTTAGCAGAACCTGCCTCCCTCCTGACATCATTGTCTGTAGTATCTCTAATAACACTACATCTGCAAGTCTTGTCTCCGCCATGCCATCGTGCACCATCTGCATCTCCTGGAAGAAAGGGTTTGGTGCTGAGCAGGCATATTTTCTAAACATGTCAGCCCATGTTCCTATAGACACAGCAAATGAAAGGAACTGGAGTGAGACATGCCTGACCTTGGGGACCAGATAGCTCCTGGGGTGCAAGAAGGAACTGTTACTCTTGGCATCATTGATGATACCCCCAATGGTCCTGTCTTGTGGGGTGAAGCAGTGTGTTCCCACCACATAGAGGGCAGCACACCCAGCGCCTTCAGCAGCTACTTTTCAGTCACTAGTGAGGTAACCTCAGGCCTCTCTGGCTCAGGAGTGACTGTGGAAAGGTAACTGGAGCCTCTGAATGGCCAACACATATTTGAAGAAGCATTTAGCATCCTCATCCTTCTTTTTTTTTTTTTTTTTTTTTTGAGATCCAGAATTTGCCAAGATTTATTACATAGACCAGAGAAGCCCCACATTTGTGGCATTCTTCCTTCCTGCTTCCGCAGGAAATGCAGGCATGTTCCACTGTGTTTAGTTGTCCCCTGTAGCCATAAAGGAAGTAAAGCAAATTAAAACTGTTTGTGACTCTTTACTTTTTTCCCATCCCTCTACTTTTTTCCTACTGGGTTTCTTTGAGACAAGGTCTCTCTACATAGCCCTGGCTGTCCTGGAACTCATTATTTAGTCCAGGCTGACCTTGAGCTTACAAATTTGCCTACCTCTACCTTTTGAGTCCTGGGATTAAAGGCATGTGCTACTGAGCCCGGCTACCTTTTTATCACAAAGAAATAGAACCTAGAAATATCTCATAATCTCTAAAAGCTACATAGATTTCAGATGTGGGTAAGAATTAGCTTTTTTTTTTTTTTTTTTTTTTTGGTTTTTCGAGACAGGGTTTCTCTGTGTAGCTTTGCGCCTTTCCTGGGACTCACTTGGTAGCCCAGGCTGGCCTCGAACTCACAGAGATCCGCCTGCCTCTGCCTCCCGAGTGCTGGGATTAAAGGCGTGCGCCACCACCGCCCGGCCAAGAGTTAGCTTTTTTATGCTTTGTTTTGCTTTTTTATTATTTTTTTCCAGATAGGATCTCATTATTTAGTTTGGACTGAACTCAAACTCATGATCCTCTTGCCTTAGCCTCCCAAGTAAAAATAATAATTTATTCATATGCATTTTGTGGCATGATGAGCAAGTATTTTCTTCTTAGTTATTATTTCTAATTTGCAAAAATACTTAAATGGGAAAAAAATGAACCGGAATGCAAGAGTTTGGGTTTTGCTACTTACAAGCTAGGTTTGTTATTGTTGCACAACAGTGATCAACCCCTGATATAATGACTAAAGACAGAAAGGTCTGTCTCGGTGTCAGTGGGTTGAGTCCATGCGTATTCGGTCCCACGCAGGAGGATGGACCATGATGGCAGTGGGAATGTGCAAAGGGAGATGCTATTCACATCATGGTAAACAGGAAGCAGAAGGTAGGAGGGACCAAGGCAACAGGTGTAACCTTCAAAGACACAACCCATGTGATCTACTGCCTCTTACTTGGCTCCATTTCCTTAAGCTTTCAGAACCTTCAAAACAGCACTTACCAGCAGGGGCCTGAGACTTCAGCAAATGTGCCCATGGGTGACTTTTCATGTTAGAGTACCAGCTGTGAGACCCTTACATGATGTATGTTATCTCTATTACTGAGCTTTTCAGTATAAATAAGGATAACATTTCGTATGGTATTTCTATAGTTCAAAAGATAACGTGTAAAACGTGTAAGGAAATATTCACCACAGCAAAATGTCCATAAAATTTTCTTCTTATTGCAATTGCCATCTCATGAAACATGTTTGTTAGCCAATGTCAACACACACTGTGTCCAGCTGCGAGGGTTTACAGTGTTACCAGGGTCAAGAGATGCAAGGTCCAGCTTTAGCCTCTTAGCATTCTAGAGCATTTACCTAACAATGGAAAGCTGTAAAACCAGGCTTGTTGTGAAAACAAACCAGAAAACCTTAAGGTCTAAAGTATTTTTTCCTTCTCTGAGAAGTATATCAATCAAGATTATGATGTCTATTTAAAATGTAGTGGAGCTGGAGAGATGTCTTAGTGGTTAAGAGCACTGTCTGCTCTTTCAGAAGACCCAGGTTCAATTTCCAGCACCCACATGGTAGCTCACAACCATCTGTAACTCCACTTCAAGGGAATCCAAGGTCCTCCTCTGGCCTCCATGGGCAATAGGCACACTAGTGGGCACAGACATATATGCAGGCAAAAGACCCATACACATAAAATAAGATAAAAAATAAAAAATTAAAATGAGAACAAAGTAAAATTTAAAAAAATGTGTCCAGATTGCAAATTTCAAATTTGTTGTTTGTAGTATAAAGTCACCAATGTGCCCCAAGCACACCATTAATACATTATCTTGTAAAATCTCCAATTAGAAAGCAACCATTAAACGCTCACTATGTAAAGTCTGTGGGAATTCAAAAGACAATACACACGGTGTTGAGATTAAGGAGTTAACATCTAATTGACTAATTGGCATGAGGATGTGTGCTGGGACTCTTAGCTGGGAAGAAGGCTATAGGAACAGAGGAGAGGCTTTGAGTTGGGAAATTAGGAAATTTCCTCACTGGATGCTGTTGTAGATGGATTTGGTCGATTGAAAAAGACATTTGTATCTATTGACTGAGCATATAAAATGTACTAGTCCCCATGCTAGAGGTTGGCACTGTTCTAGATATTGCTATGATGAAATCTGTGGTTTATGAAGACTTTTCTGGCAATGCATTCAGAGGGGATATGCCTAGATTTTCAGTATTTCTCAGTGGGGACTAAGGGACTTTGTCCAGTGAGTAGAAGTGATGATTGACAGATGAAATGGGTAGTATCATAGGGAGGACAGCCACAGGTTCAGAGGAGGAAAAGGTTGAAGGCGACAGTAAGTATTTGAGTAGACCATGGTGTTTCTGTTAAATAAAGTGGGAAAGATGAACATATGGGAAAAACAAACCCATGCGTTTATGTTTGATCATTTGGTAGGAACATATCTGTGGCAGATATAAGCAGCTAGCAGCAGAGCATACAAATCTGGTGGTTAAAATGTTGCTGGTTTATAATCATCTGTAGAGATGGAGGCCTATGGTGAAAATGAAGCAGTGAGATGGCGAAGACACTATGACGCAGGAGAGGGAGGGGGAATCTGCGCGAGCGCATGCGCCCTGGGAAAGAGTGAAGCTAAGGGAACAGGGAAACAAGATGAGAGAGTGATTCCCATCTGCAAAGTCCTAGAAGGT